ATTATGTCAGTTAGTCTTCTTTTTGGTAAACTTGCTCAACTTAAGCCAATTTTCTCCTAGTGAATACAAAGACATTACAAAAGAGCTGATTCTGTTGCACTGTGAAGTGTTGTGTGAGAATGAAGCTAGTGTCTGACTGTGTGTATAGATGTTTTTCAGTGAAAACAACATTTTTTATTGCAAATCTTACTTAAGTTCGCTTAGACTTCATTCGCACACCGTGAGGTCATGTTAGGTGAACTTCATTACAGCTTTTGACAGAGATGAATTACCCCGAGGACGTTCATTCACTTACATTGTTTGACTGTATTCCACTTTTAGTGTTAACAGTGTTTGGCTACAGCTTCGTGTCTGTTATTACCTGTGTTTTTTCGGGCGGTTTGAGGCGGCATGCATTCGTAATGAACTGAATTCCGGCTTAGTGGCTTGATAGCGTCAGGATCCGTAAATAATGTAGGCTAAAGCGAGGAGCAGTGAGTTCCTCCTCAGCTTCATCGCGCATTCAGCCTCTTAAACGCCGATGGGCTCCGCTGTCAGACATGCGCAGATCTCCAGAACTGGCAGCGGGTCAGCAGCGGCTTCTCACGCGGTTCTCGGAATCCAGTCTCGGGTCGAGCCGAGCGTTTGTGGTTCTGACGGAAGCCGCGGACGCAGCGGAGCACCGGAGTGCATTAACCGCTATTAAGATCTTCTCTGTCGGCGTTCATCGCGTCTCGGCGGACACAAAATGACTCGCAACGACGAAATGGGTAGGATACTAATCTATTGCGCGTTAAGTTTGATGTTTTTGAGTCAAAAGATTAAATAAATGTGTATAATATTTTTGCAAGTGTTGTTGAGTAAACAAGTAAACACAATTAACACACTGACTGAACATGCTGTTCAGACTTTCATTTGTTAAGGCTATTGAAGGGAGATTTTAACCGAAAGACTGAATTGTGTATTTTAATACAGTGAAAAGTGTATTTTCACAAAGATCAGGTCAGGGAAAGTTGTCATGTTGTTACACTTTTAAGTTTGATGTTAAATGTTTTGGACACATTCTACCAGTATAGGTGAGACCGGGGCTAGTTGTCACAGGGCTATATCTCAGTGACTTTGGTTTTTGAGTCAAAAGATTAAATAAATGTGTATAATATTTTTGCAAGTGTTGTTGAGTAAACAAGTAAACACAATTAACACACTGACTGAACATGCTGTTCAGACTTTCATTTGTTAAGGCTATTGAAGGGAGATTTTAACCGAAAGACTGAATTGTGTATTTTAATACAGTGAAAAGTGTATTTTCACAAAGATCAGGTCAGGGAAAGTTGTCATGTTGTTACACTTTTTAATTTGTCATGTTGTTACACTTTTTAATTACAGTAATTGTTGGCCAAAACAATGATTAGATTTTTTTATAGAGTCCCCTTTTCCCTTTTTGTTTGCTTAGGCTGTGTAACTGCTGGTTCCCATTGTGACAACTTACCCCATAGTGTTACAGCATTCCCTCAAATAAATAAACAAACAAACTGTATTTTCTTCCTGAGCATTAGAGTGCAGTAGTTGGGTTCTGGAATTTTAAATTCCTTTCATTCTTTTCCATAGAGGAATTAACTAGTTTTAACACTAACTTACACGCCTGTAAAAATCCACCATGAACTCTATGAGCTTGTTTATCAATTATATTTACTTTTTGAAGCTATCAGCCTACATTATTTTATCTTAATTTTTAAGCATTATCAACAACCACGCCAAACATGGTGTATACACTCACATTACTCTGGTGCGTAGCCCCAAAAAGTTAGATCATAGGGAAAAGAAGAAGAAGAAGAAAAATAAAACAAGATGATGTGATATTGAAAATTTTATTTTTTTTAAACTATGATCTTAATTTAAAAATGTAAAATTCGTGGTGGAGAACTACACTACCCATGATCCGTCAGAGCTCTCATGATTTAATCAAGTCTCTCTATACTTAAAGCTGCAGTCCATAAGTTTTGCCTCTTTGTCGCCATCTCTGTTTGAAAACCTGGAATTGCAGCTGTGTGCAGAATTATCTAGCTTGCGTGGGTTGTGCGGCGGCGCGGCTGCAGCGCGGATGAATCTAATGTTCTGAAGAGTATGTGTGTGTGGCAGTCAGTCACTGCACCGGTGTGAATATTTACTGTACTTCACAATCACAGATTCTAGCCTACGTCTTGGAATATATGACTCAAATAAGCATTTTCATCGTATATTGCCATCTGAACAAGCGGATCATTTTTAACCAAAAAAAGTTACGGACTGCAGCTTTAAACTACTGTACATTGTTTCTATAAATCTAGTTTTTTATTTTATTACGATGTTTGCAATGTTTTATACTGCAAGTCTTGTATTAGTCACTGGTTTCTTTGTGTTCCTCTAAATGCAGAATTTTGTGTAGCTTCTGTCGTAATGCATTTCTCATGTAGCAACATTTGTATTGAGCACTTTAATGTCCACAGTCCATTTGAAAGCAGTTCAGACAATATTTCCTTATGGCTGTCACTAATGGCCCTCTTGTTCTATTTTCTGAGCCCATTCCATTCACACACAAACTCATTTTCTCTCTTTTTGACTCTCTCCTCTCTCTCTCTCTCTGGTGACTCAGCAAAGGCAGGTGACCACTCTCCTCTAGCAGCAGCTCTCACTGTCTCTCGCTCACTTTAAATGAGTGTGAGTGTGTGCTTTAAATGTGAGTGTGTGACTGTAGTATGTATGAGTGTGCAGTTAATAGATGTGTTAGTCTGTCATTCTCACAGTCTTACAAACATTTACCATAGCAAACATATTTTCTGCCAAAATAATATTTATTATAATAGTTACTACAGTTATTGATACTCACAGATTTGAACAAATTGCCCTAATTACCCAAATTACCATTACCCTAACTACTAAACTAGCATGTAACCTGTCACACACTATTAGCATTATGGAAATGGAGGATACCAGGTATGGTATGGAACTGTGGTAAATTATAAGGGAGCTGAATTTTAGCTGTAGTTTATGTTTTCAATATTTTCTATTTCTTATTTATTGGAAGTGATCTGTTTTAGTTTGCACATTGTGCAACAAATACCCTTGTGAAAAAAAGTACACTTTAGCATGCGATTTAAAAAGAGTATGTATTATGGAAATAATATAATTTAAAAGAATATACTTAAGTAGTGCAAACTGAATGTAATATTTTCAGACACTTAATTGCAAGTAAATTGCAATTAAATGAAAACATATATCTTACATTTTTGTGAAATGAACTTTAGAGATTTTTGACTCACTCAAGTAGAACTTAAGCTTATCTTTAGATGTAATTTCATAATTACTTCTATTGAAATGTACTGACAAGCTTGTATGATAAACTAAAATATACTTTAATGTAATTTCTATAGAAACTTGTACATCTTGTATTTAAATATAAAACTTTTGCATGATGTGCCGATTATCTAATTAATCACAAATTATTTGTACATCTTGTATTTAAATTAGTGTTCTCAAGTGATTAAAACTTTTGCATGATGTGCCGATTATCTAATTAATCACAAATTAATCGCACATCAATTTGGAGAAATTACCCCCCAAAAGATCATTTAAAGTCATTATTGTGAATAAGAAAATCACTGAATAGACATTACAGAAAAGCAACTTTAGAATGGTGATGCAAAAGAAAAAAAGTATATTGAAATATGAAATTATTATTATTATTATTTTAATGAAATTATACTCTAAATATGAAACTAAAACCGCCAGTAGGTGGCGGCAAGTCACTATTTTAATGAGGTAAGGACAGATTCGTTCAAATTGCTGATTCATTCAAGAATTAAGCAAGCGACTGTCTTTATGAACGAGTCACTGAATCATTGACTCAAACGATTCGTTCAAAACGATTGATTCAAAAGCAAAACAGTTTTGCCGAGGCTTTGTTTGGAACTATGTTAGTTCGTGAAATTGAGCAAAAACAGACAATCCTGACAATATTGTGTCTAAAATGTTTATTGTTTATTGACCTGTTGTATAAAATCAATATCACATTTGCAATCGTGCAGATATTCGAAAAAAAAAACAGCACTCTTGCTCGTGTGATATTGCTAATATCATATGATATAAAGCTGTGTGCAATGTAAGATGACATACAGGCCTGAGCAGGGAGGGAGAGCTCAGCCAATCATAATCAACTACCAGAACCATCCGTTTTATAAAATACAATTTTTATTTTTTCTTAGGATAGTCCCCAGCATCACCGCAACACTACACAAAACAATCGGTTTGGAAAATGGATGGATGGATGTCTGTTTTATTGGCCATAGTAGAAGATACTGTGATTGTTGAATCATCTTCTTACATTGACAGATGGTGTAGGGGTTTACGATGTAGCCAAGGTCCTCTGACTGACCCGTGTTATGTTTGTAGCATCTGCATTATAAAAAAGAAATAGTTAGAAAACCATGCCTCCATGAAATCTGCACCTCTTGGTTTGTTGCAGATATTCGAAAAAAAAAACAGCACTCTTGCTCGTGTGATATTGCTAATATCATATGATATAAAGCTGTGTGCAATGTAAGATGACATACAGGCCTGAGCAGGGAGGGAGAGCTCAGCCAATCATAATCAACCACCAGAACCATCCATTTTATAAAATACAATTTTTTTTAACTTTTTTATTTTTTCTTAGGATAGTCCCCAGCATCACCGCAACACTACACAAGACAATCGGTTTGGAAAATGGATGGATGGGTGTCTGTTTTATTGGCCATAGTAGAAGATACTGTGATTGTTGAATCATCTTCTTACCTTGACAGATGGTGTAGGGGTTTACGATGTAGCCAAGGTCCTCTGACTGACCCGTGTTATGTTTGTAGCATCTGCATTATAAAAAAGAAATAGTTAGAAAACCATGCCTCCATGAAATCTGCACATCTTGGTTTGTTATTGTATTGTTTTTGTGCTTCTAATCTCATATTTCGCTGACTTCCTTCAATCCTAATTTGTCATTTTATATGTAGGTAATGTGGGTATGCAACCTGTGCCGAAAACAACAAGAAATCCTCACAAAGTCGGGAGCATGGTTCTACAGCAGTCCTGAGGGCTCCAGATCAGGGCCCGAAGCCAAAGTAAGGGGAGGCCCAGCCAGTGCAAACCAGGACCCTCTCAGAAACGGTTCAGGGATCCCAGACAGGTCAGAAATTCATACTCCTTCACCTTGCTTGGCCTCAGACAATGTTAAATGTTGCTCAGTTCAGCATTGTGTGGGTCTGATGTTGTCCGAAGGTTTTTAAGTTTATCTCAATGAGGATGCTTTGAGGATAATTTGCCCTAAATTTGAGATTCAAGGTTTTTTTAGAGTGGAAATTACTTAAATCAAGCATTTTATTCTTGATGTAATTTGTAGTGAAGAAAACAGACCTCATTGCTGTTACATGCATATTTGTCATTGTCTTATAGAAATGAGCAAAGTGCAGTATGATTTATTTTTCGATTTCTTCACTATTTTCTCAGGACATGCATTTGATATGTGTGATATTTATGAATACCACTCAAAGCAGCATTAATAAACAGGAAACTGCAAATGTTTGAGATCTTTGTTAGGGGCGTCTGTAATATTCAGACATACAGTACCCATGCATTGAGTTTGGCTGTGTTTAAGGAGCTCCTTAATTTTCTTCTGTGACAATTATCTTGAATATCTGGTTGATACTTTCTTATTTAAAGGGGTGGTTCACTGTTTTTTTTTCTAGGCTTGATTGTGTTTATGGGGTGCAGTCTACTTTAAAGCAACATTCAGTGACGGTTACCTCAGAGGAACCTGGGGTTAAAACTAATGGATATGGATTTTGCTGTAACTACATTGTTACATTTTAAGAAGTGAATGTGAGTGACGCTTGTGCTCAGCTCTCTGCTACTGTACTAGGATGTTGTGATTGATATGTGGTTTCTTGTCAGTATCATAATGATTATTATGATATTACTCATGTGAAAAAATAAATTTCAACATTCTGCATACATAAAAAATAGAGCCCGACCGATATTGGGGCCGATAAGATACCAATATTAGGGAGTAAAAAAAGGCCGATATCGATATATCGGCCGATATTCTTTGTGTATATTATAGTAAAAACGCATTCTTTTTCACATAATTTATCTTTATTCCACACTACTCTGTCCCTTCTCTGAGAAGCGGGCTGATCATTTCCTGCTTTTATGAAGCCCAGACCTCAGAAATAGGCGATGGGCTCTGATTGGTTAGCTAGCCCAGTGTGTTGTGA